TAGTAACAAAAAAAGTTACACCATTTTAAAGACTAAACTTTTAACTTTAAATTGATACCAAATTCATTTAAATCACACTAGTATTTAAAAAGATATCCCGGCTGATGTGAAGAAGTAAGGAAAAAGACATGTATCAACTGTTTGATACGTCGCGAGGTGCGGCCTATTTACCCCCTATAAAAGCACGTGTTTTCGGATTTTTGCTTTCACACGTTGATCCATACACATCTCCGCTTCTTTTGACACTTTACCTGGGAATCTACCATCTTCAGAAGCAGCACAAATCGTTGCACTATTGCAAGAAGGGCTCAGCCAGCGGGCTGTCGCAGTGCCGGATTAGCCACGTAGCAAGAGTAGCAAATGCTACGGGCCCCGCGAATTTGGGGGCCCCGCGCTCCAAAGCCTGTCTGACCGAAATAAAAAAAGATTAATTTAGATAGGAGTGTAAAATATCTTGCATTAGGCTATGCTTTACTTTCACTTGAAAATCTAAAACTCGATTTCATCACGTTAAATCATAAAAATAAGTAGGTAGGTATTTTACGAACTTTTTAACGTGAATGTTCTCTATAGGCCAGTAGAATTAAACACAAAAATGGATTAAATCGGAAATAATTCCTACTAAAGAATTTAGTGCTTTAAATGCAGCCACATTAGTTGCCCATAAAGACTCTCCTACCTAGGTTTTCGACTTCGACGGAGTTGTGCTTAAGTGGTGGGGGCCCCCGAAAGGGGCGCTTTTTCGGCTTTCCGGTTATACCGCGTAAAGGACTTACCCTATCGAAAAGTGGTCTTCCAGACGGTTGAAGGGCATTTAATCCTGCATTAAATAAGACCAAATTCATATGTTTTAAACAAACCGTTCTCGTGCAAATGTTCGGCAAAGTAGAAAATATGTGTATAATTAATGACCCTCTCCACGTCCAATGGCTCGTTACCCGCAGGCTTCCAAGTCTTGAAAAGGAGCGCCTCAACCAGTGTAACCCTTTCAAGGCTTACGAGCTGGATGCGCCTATCCTTGTTCGTCCCAGCCTTTCCTTAACTGCGGTTGCTGCACCTCTTCCTGGCACTCACCTGAACGACTCTGTGTTACCTACTGTGGCTGCCCCTCTTCCTTGTATCCTCCTGCACGACTACGTTGCCTAGCCGTATGCCTGGTCTAAGGTTCGACCCCAAAAATCAACAACAACAAGTTTATATTAAAACGCTGAAGAGTTTTTTGTTTGTTTGTTTGAACGCGCTAATCTCAAGAATTACTAGTTTGATTGAAATAATTATTTTTGTGTTGAATAGCTCATAAATTGAGGAAGGCTATAGGATATTTACAATCACTCTACGACTAATAGAGGCGAAGCAGTAAAGAAAAATGTTGCAAGCACGGAAAATAGTATTTAAACTATTTTCACGCGTACGAAGTTGATTTTGTGGCGTCGAACCTTGGACCAGGCATATGGCTAAGCAATAAATAATAATAAATAAATTATACACATATTTTCTACTTTGCCGAACATTTGCACGAGAACGGTTTGTCCAAAACGTATGAATTTGGTCTTATTTAATGCAGGATTAAATGCCCTTCAACCGTCAGGAAGACCACTTTTCGATAGGGTAAGTCCTTTACGCGATATAACCGGAAAACCTAAAAAGTGCCCCTTTCGGGGGCCCCCCCACCACTTAAGCACAACTCCGTCGAAGTCGAAAACCTAGGAGAGTCTTAATGGGCAACCAATGAAGCCATTAAAGCGATAAAATCTACTGGCCTATAATGTTTAATTATATAATCGATATATTTAGACTAGCATCTATAGATACCACATTTCTACCCTTCAAGCGGCCGGATTTTTTTTTTCTATAGGTATACATTTATTTTATGAGTTTACGTAGGTAGCCGAGATTATACTTTTTTAATCGATTTTAATATAATATCGATTATCAATATTTCGAGAAAACAGGCGAACTATTTAAATTTTATTAATTCAGTCACGATCCAATCTACTATAGTTGGTTGATTTATAATAAAATATAGATTCATTTTATGAGTGAATATAGCTAACCTTTTTAATCGATTATCATATCGATCATGTTTCGAGATTATTGAAAGCTAGTGACGGTAGATTAAGAGCAAGGTGTTTTAGAGTCTCAAGTAAAAAAGCGGATAATTAAAAAATGAGGTTTACTTTTTAACAAAAAACGTATGACAAAAGATCATTTTACAAACAACGTTTGAAAAACTAATCATTTTATAAACTTTTAATAAATAATTCTTTAGAATCGTGTTTTCCAAACATAGAAATTGCCTTGCGCATTTACATGTCTCTCATGATCACTAACTGCAGTGGCGAACGTTCTTTTTCAACATTAAAACGTACCTATTAAAAATAAATTAAGGAACACGATGGGACAAGAACGTCTTAATCATCTTACTTTGTTGAATATAGAGCATGATTTGCTTAAAGAAGTTGATATTGAAATTGTTATCTCTAAATTTTCCCACATTAAATCAAGAAAAGTTCATTTGTAACAGTTTTGTTTCATTTAATACTCTAAACTTGAGAACCAAGAACCAAACCAAGGGCCCTTTGATAGAAATTTGCTACAGGCCCCGCGCTGGCTTAATCCGGCACTGGGCTGTCGCACGTCAGCTCCACATAAGCCAGTCCTGGGTTTCGAAAGTTTTAAGACGCTTTCGGGAGACTGGTGGCTTTATCCCGAGACCAAGTTCTGAACAGCGCCGGTGCACATCGCAGAGGGATGACCGTTTTTTCATGTCAACCTCTCTATGAAATCGTCATTTGACTAGTATCAACGTCCATCAAGAGCTCAGAAATGATCGTAGGATAGCTGTTAGCGAGTGGACAGTTCGTCTAAGATATAAGCAATAGAATTTGACTCCAAAAAGGCCTGCCACAGGCTCGAAACTAACGGCAGGTGACCGATAAGCACGCTTTCAATTTGCTCGTACACATCTCGATGGGAAGTCGAGCAAGCCACCCCCATTAGCCACTGTTTCAGCGAACCAGCACTGCACAAATCGCTCCCCAGGCCGCCTATAGACCCGACCTTTTCGACTGCTGCACTGAAAACACAGTCTGCATTCATTGGAGAACAAAACTCGCCTCCATTACTTGCCTTCCCATCAAATAAGTGCGAGCTAATTGAAAGCGTGCTAATCGGTGACTTGCCGTCAGTTTTGAGCCTGTGGCAGGCCTTTCTGTAGTCAAATTCTATTGTTTATATCTTAGACGAACTGTCCACTCGCTAACAGCTATCCTACAAACATTTCTGAGCTCTTGCTGGACGTTGATACCAGTCAAATGACGATTTCATAGAGAGGTTGACATGAAAAAACGGTCATCCCTCTGCGATGTGCACCGGCGCTGTTCAGAACTTGGTCTCGGGATAAAGCCACCAGTCTCCCGAAAGCGTCTTAAAACTTTCGAAACCCAGGACTGGCTTATGTGGAGCTGACGTGCGACAGCCCGCTGGCTGAGCCCTTCTTGCAATAGTGCAACGATTTGTGCTGCTTCTGAAGATGTAGAGTCCCAGGTAAAATGTCAAAAGAAGCCGAGATGTGTATGGATCAACGTGTGAAAGCAATAATCCGAATACACGTGCTTTCATAGGGGTAAATAGGCCGCAACCCGCGACGTATCAAACAGTTGATTCATGTCCTTTCCTTACTTCTTTACATCAGCATGGATATCTTTTTAAATACTGGTGTGATTTAAATGAATTTGGTATCAATTTAAAGTTAAAAGTTTAGTCTTTCAAATGGTGTTTTTTTGTTACTAACAAATTCGTTAGTACACAAGATCGCGTGGAAACAACTTCATGTAAGTGATTCCATACTTTTGCTCGCGAGTGTAGTTAAATGACTTTCGGCACTGCACTGGGAACACTTACCTCGTAATTCAATTATATCATTCCTAATTTTTTACTTTTTAAATGTCCATGTGCACTTATTACAACAAAGTGAAACGAACGATAAAAACTGATAATGGTAAATAACATTTCCCAACTAAATGTTAGGTATTTAGTGATCAACGTAAGTTTAACGTTTTGTAATTGTGAGTGATCAACATCAAGAACTTTGGTCAAAGTAAGTGCTAGTATTAATTTAATAGGTACCTGAATTAATAATACAACTATTTCCCCTAACCCTATCCTAATTTTCTTTAGTACCTATACAGGGTGTTGATTTCAATACTCGCCATATTTATTTAGGTGATCTAAGTGGAATTTTTAGCGAATATTTTCCGTGCAACATCAACTGTACTGTGGCACCCATCGAGCTACGCGGATCGCTCGCTTATCATGTCGGATAGTCTACTGAAGGAAGCCACGTAAAGTAGGTAGTGTAAATAGGTATTTTTCTTTGACTAACTAAAGTTAAAGTTCGTTTTAAATTAGTTTGCTGTTTCCTATGTGTGTGTGAGTGTATTGGAGCGCTTTCCGCCACTACCTACCGCGACGGCGGGAGTATTTTCTACACAAAATTATCAGATTATTCACTACCTACATTAGAAAGGAATGTCATTTAAGTTTAGAGCTAGGTACTTACCGATGCGACTTCAGATGCGTTTCCACGTGCCCTCCCGTAACATAAACCATGTTTACGTATCTACTCACGAGCACTGTACGTATGGTTAAATCAAAAAATCAAAATCAAAATTATTTTTATTTGTTTAGACTAATTAAATTAGTTCTTGCAAATCGTCAAATGCTCTTAAGGAGCCTATACATGTCTCATTCTTTTTTTGCCCTACCAGCGCTTCGCTTAGGCATATCCCTAACACTCACTCACTATTACCACACTCACTATCACACGTTCACACACTAACTACTCAAAATCGCACGAGAAAACAATCAATCACCTAAGTATGCGTGTTGTTTCGAAATTTCCGAAAATATCATCAAAAAAGCAATTGTCATTGCTACTTCTGTTTTTCTTCGTGTTCATTTCACCGTATTTAAGTTTTTTTATAAGTTCTGTTTCAGATATGCCTATCAACAAGTGCATCGTGATCGGCTGCTCGTCCACCAAGGCCACTGCGAGGCTGTTTTCGCTGCCGCGAGATGAAGCGTTGCAGGCTTTAGGCCTCAGCCTCGAACTTAGCGGGCAGCGGGGCGGCGGCGGCGGCGGCGCGGGAGCGAGGCGGGCAACGCAGACCCGTTCTCGAAACCAGCGGGCAGCTCGCGCGGCGCTTTAGCGGCGAAGTGTTGTGTTCGGGCTTGTGTTGTTGAGATATTTGTTTTTTATTCGCGAACGAAATGTCTGAACAACGGCGACAATTTTATTTCGATTCAAATTTATTCCTTACGCTCGATTTATTGTGGGCAAAAGAAGGAGTGCGCTGCCCGCTCGTTGCCCGCTCCCTCGCCGCTGCCCGCTCGTTGCCCGCTCCGGCGCCGCTGCCGCGCCGCTGTTTTCGAGAACCGGTCTATTTGATTTTACGCATAAGATCCTGCCGCTCCCGCCCTGCCGCCGCTCCCGCGCCGCTGCCCGCTAAGTTCGAGGCTGAGGCCTTATGGATGCAGTACCTCCTGCCTGCAAATCCCGCATTAGGAACCATGACATGGAAGCAAATTCGTCAAAGAAAGGCAAGTAATTTAATTTAATTAACACCGGGCAAACTTCAAATTCCACTGTACACCGTGTCTCTCTAAACACTCGACATTGGCAAAACCAGTGTGCTTCAAATTCGCACCATTGAAGCCATTAGACAGAATAGTAAATTAAGTAATTTAAGATTGATATACAATTTTCCAAATTGCTGAAAAGTTTGCAGCAATTTCCATAGAACTGTTTTTTGTTTCAGGTCTGCCAACTACATTTTGAGGATAAATATATCCGAAACAATATAAGGGTCATGAATGGATGTCCTACTTTATTTACCCACGAGGAAATACCATCTCGGCGCCCTTCCAAGCTGTTGTTGATCAAATCATCCAGTAATAGTCCACTCAATAAAGCATTATAGATGGAAATCCATGGAACACAATTTTTGACTTCGGGACTTTATTTAGACTAGTTAGGAGGTGAACATAGTAAAAGTCCCCGCCCTTAGCCCTTGAGCCGGCGGGGAGAGGGGGGTTTAAAGGTTCCACTTTTCGGTTTTTCGCTTAATCCTCGGAAACTATGCATCCTAGTGACATAACTACTATGAACCAAAAAAAGCTTATTCAATTTGCTACAGGTGAGATAGTCAAGTTTTTCTATATCTTGTATAGTTTTCGCGGCATCTGCTCTAGAAGGTCTGTAATATTGGAAATTTTATTTTTGTCTTACATGTTTCCATCAGGAGAAAATCGACTAAATCAACATTGAGCTAATATTCTAGACATGCGGGAGCATGTTAAGCCTAGTTCCAGGGAGGGGACTGCATTGTGCGTATATTTAGACGAACCAATTGGAGCCACTTTTGACTCCTCATCACTCAAAAAGTACTGTGCATTAACACTTCAAATTTGGCTCGTGTGTTGAGACTTGCAAGATAAACATCAGCTTCAAATTTCATAAATATACCTCAAACGGTACTTTAGGTATTGAAATCTAAAAATCTACATGGCTGACCTATAAGACCAAATTCTAACCACTTCCAGATGATCTTGAAGGTTCAAATTTAGCATCCAGATAGGTAGTTGTGTAAATACAAAGGAACAAAAAAAAAACCAGTAAATTTTAACATTTCACTGGTGATAGATTTTAGTGTCCTAAATATCGATTTTTGAAGGTCAATACCTGAATAACCGTTTGAGGTATATTTATGAAATTTGAAGCTGATGTTTATCTTGCAAGTCTCAACACATGAGCCTAATTTGAAGTGTTAATGCACAGTGCTTTTTGAGTGATGAGGAGTCAAAAGTGGCTCCAATTAGTTCGTCTAAATATACGCAAGATGCAGTCCCCTCCCTGGAACTAGGCTTAGCATGCTCCCGCATGTCTATAATATTTGCTTAATGTTGATTTAGTCGATTTTCTCCTGATGGGAACATGTAAGACAAAATTAAAATTTCCAATATTACAGACCTTCTAGAGCAGATGCCGCGAAAACTATACAAGATATAGAAAAACTTGACTGTCTCACTTGTAGCAAATTGAATAAGCTTTTTTTGGTTCATAGTAGCCATGTCACTAGGACGCATAGTTTCCGAGGATTAAGCGTAAAACCGAAAAGTGGTACCTTTAAACCCCCCTCTCCCCGCCGGCTCAAGGGCTAAGGGCGGGGACTTTTACTATATTCATCTCCTAACTAGTCTAAATAAAGTCCCGAGGTCAGAAATTGTGTTCCAGGGATTTCTCTCTACACCGTCGTTAAAGCATTCATTGACTGGACTATAAGTTGATTTCTAATAATTTATTTATTCAACCTTGTAGTATAATTAATCTAAAATAAAAAGACATTATGTTACATTTCATTAATAAATTGATTTGATATTTTCATTATAGTATTAATATTGTGTTGCAGTTATTAATACAAATTATCTTTAAAATCTATTCTTTGGAAAAGGCACCCTACATAAAATACGTACATTTATAACTCTAACTTACAATAATTATTTAAATAACACCTCTTTTTACAATCCCCTGGTTAGGATGCGCAGACTTTATAATGACATGGCGTTAGAGAATCCGGAATTTGATATATTTCAACAAAAATTACACTCGTTTCGCAGAAGCATTGACACAGTTTTAAATATAAATATTGATAATAATACAAAAAATAATTGATAACTTTTCCTTTTTTTAACACAGTTTATAGGGTTGTGTCTTTTGAGCATTTTGGATGTGTTTATTAATTGTGCAACGTAAATAAAATCATCGTTACTTAAATGTACGCTACTTGTAGGTTGGAGTCTAGACACTGTTCATTTTGTTTATGTATTTTGATATGTAAATGACTGTAACCTGTATGTGTACTTATTGAATAAAATAAAAATAAAATAAAAAAACATTCAGTAAACATTTATTTTAAAATCTTTCTAGTTCTCAATGCAGGATATTTCAATAGTTGTTTCTTTTTTCTTTCTAGCTACTGATAAAGATCAGTCCAACTCAATGCTGATGCCAGATAATGCTAAGACTGTAGGTATGTTCAACTCAGATGCAAATAATTACTAAGTAATATTTAATTAAATTTTGTAAAGTTCAGTTTCCAGGCCTTTGAAAGTATAGCCTGACCAAGAACATAAAAACCCTGGCATAGAGGCGCGACAATTGCATTTGATAGTGCAACACTGAATACAGTCGTACCTGTGTTAAATTAATTGGCTAACTTTATGTATCAGGATTCAGGATTACGGGCTAATTTGATATTTTCATAAATTAACGAAAAAATATTATTATAGGTAACCTGGTTTAAATAAATTAAATGAAACCATCAATCGAGCTAGTAGGATTTATTAAACATGAATAATCAAATTCAGAACTTGAAAATTCAACTGCAATGTCTGCTCATGAACGCATCAAACTCGGTACTTCTTTCCCAATTCCATAAAAATCAACACTTAGAAAGTGTCATTTTTTTTTTAAAATAGGTAGTTGAAACAAACCACAGCTAATTTTCATAGTGGACTGTACTATACGATAAACATGTCAGTCAATTTGACAACCTTTGTCGGAAACATTATTCAATGAAAATATTGGCCGAACCCTTAGTATTTCTCTTCGACAAATACTTTAACACATTGTGAACCACTTTTCTTTCACGACTAGAAAAAGATTTTAGCAATTTAATTCACAAAATCAATTGCGCACATTTAAAATAAAGTTTGTTTACACTTTGACAGCAATAGACTGACATGCAAGGTGACATGTCAATGAAGTTTTCAGTTACTGTTGCCATTAAAAGAAATTAGTACCATTAGTTTTCCGCAACATGGCGAGGGTTTTTATGTTCCTGGTCGGGCTATAACACCAAACAAAGAAATATACAACCTCATAAGTTTTTAAATTAAAGTTTCATGTTCCCCAGAATCACTAGTAATACTATTGAGTTCAGTAATTGGCAGATGAGTTATTGCATTAAACCATGGACTTGTTTTAATAATAAATAATTTATAATACATACTTTAAAAGCATACATATTAAAATTAAACCTTTACAGAGGATGATATTATCAGAAATCTGGTTGCAATCAACCATGATCATAGTTATAGTCTGAACCACAAAATAAAAGTTGCTTCAGAGCAAATGGGTAAAATTTCACCTAGCTAAGTAGCTAGCTAGCTAACTAGTAGAAACAAAATATTTGAAATGTAGAATAGTAATGATAATTGCTTGACTCGTTAATTGTGAATTTTTTAGTGTTTTGTATACACAAATAATATATTTAATAAGCTGCAATGTTTTGGAAATTGCTGTGTATACCTGTAATTGGCAAACATAATTATTTAAACTAAAACCCCAATATGTGTTGTATACTGTGAATGTCTCAAATGTGTATTGCTGTTGGTGTACCTTTATCAATAAATAAATAAATAAATAATTAAATTTTATGAAGGTATTTATGAGATCTTTTGCAACAAAATATTATATTTATGATAATAATTATGTGAGTGTGGACCTTCTAGTATTTCATTATCAATGTGTATTGTAATATTAACTTGGCACAACTTGACAATGTTTAGGGTTCCATAGCCAAATGGCAAAAAACCGAACCCTTATAGATTCGTCCGTATGTCACAGCCACTTTTTTCGAAAACTATAAGAGCTATACTGTTAAAACTGTAAGTAGATGTATTTTGTGAACCGCCATAAGATTTTCACATAAAAATAAAAAAAAAACAATACATTTTCGGGGTCCCCGTACTTAGAACTGAAACTGAAAATTTTTTTTTCATCTTACCTATGTGTGGGGTATCTATATAGACTTCAAAAAACTGAATAGTTTGCGCGAGAGACACTTCCAAGTGGTAAAATGTGTGTCGTCACTACTCCTTTCCTCATGAACATGTAGAGTTATTAAATTGAATTTCATATCAAATACTCAGGTACCTATTAAGCTGTAACAAAATCAAAGTTATATATACCTACAGGTTTGTACGGAACCCTCGGTTCGCGAGTCCGACTCGCACTTAGCCGGTAAGTAGATAGTTTTAGTTAGTGTTCTCGTAGTAAGTAGATATAGTGCTTGGTAAAGTAGCTAGATTTAGAAGTTACAATATTCTTCGAACATACTTTATAAGTTAAATTATCATTTAAACTGAATGATTCATAATAATATATTATTTTTTCTTTTGTAATGTTTTAATACGCAGTATTATTTTGAATGTTGTTCCAAAAAAGAAACGTTTTCTTAGTTGTTAGGGTTAATTATCTTTTCAATTACTTTTGAAATGTGTCAATCAATTTAGTTTTACAGGATTTTGGCAATGCGCTTCAATTTACTAAAGGTTGCATTATTCTATCATAAAACTGTATTTTTAAAATTAATTTAAAATAATTATGGCATCATAATAAAATAAAATTAAAATAAATGGTATTTACATTAAATTTTAATATGTTGTATTGAAATTTATTTCAGATTCAGAACCTGTATCCTGCCATGTACAATCAGAGCCACATCTGTTAAATGTGGAAATTATTGCTGCTTCTGAAGGTATAATAAATAATATCTATTTTATTAATATAATTGGACAATGACCAAAAGTGGTCCAAATGTCCACCACTAATGAGACCTATATTGGCTTATAGTCCATTAAATAGAGATTAACTTTCAATATGGGACGAAAAAAAAATAAGCTGTCAGTAACCGTATGAAAAATTGTAGTAGTTTACGCGCTAATCTTCGGAACTACTGGTCCGATTTGAAAAAATATTTTTGTTATGGATAGCCCATTTATCAAAGATGGTTTTAGGTTATACACCACTAAATTTTTATCACCGAAAAAAAAATTCTGGGTAATGATTTATTGATACTAATCCTATTTATGCAAAAAAAAAAGTTAAATAAAGCTACTCAAAATATCATCCCAAAATTGGTAATATTTGGACACACGCGTCGCTAGCACTATTTACGCTCAACGCAAGGCCGCCCATTACTATGGAGAGAGATGCGACGTTGCCGGCCCGACGCTTCCTAAAGGCGGCGGTGTACGTTTGTTGTGCGGCCATTATCGGGCGGGTGCCCGCGGCCCCGCGCCGCCCTCTCGCTCGCCCGGCCGCCGGGGCGCCGGCCGCGGTCGGTCAGTTGCGCGCGCGCGAGCTCTTGATCGGTCGTGAACTGTCTTGTTAACATTGTATCAATCAAGTCAATAGTGTCGTGCAATTATTACGTTGTCTTACCAATTCACCTCACGTGAATACGTGTTAATCATACGTGCATTATTATTCTTGGCCGGAGAAATTGTGTAGTGCAGTTTTGCGACTGTACCGGGACAGCCACACTTCAGCACGATGCAGGGTGCTTATCAAAGCATTGAATTTTGCCGGTCCTAAGGCCGATCCTAAGCCCGGGTAAGTATGAAGGGAAAGTTGAATTATTTTTATTATTTTACCTAAGCGCCTACTAAAACCACCATCTAAAACTGTTCGCACCACTCAGCTGTTATGGCGGATCTTAAATTCACGAACTACGAACGACGCGCGATCTCAATTGGAGTTACACAGTAGGTATTATTATTAACTAGTGTTAAAAACTCACAGAAATACAACGTGACGTATTACGTAATTACTAAATTACTGTTTTCGTCCTTTGCCCTGCGTTCAATTACATTCTAATTACCTACTTGAAATGTTGCAATAAAAATAGCCTAGGATAGGTAGCTAAGTAATACATTATTATTATTCTGTGATGATAACATTGAAAGCCGCTGTTTTGGCAGATCTTTGAATTACATATTTCTTTTAAAGTCGTAGTAGCCTCGTAACGACACATTGGTGTGTATTCGTAACGTATTCACAGTAGGTAGGTATTTCATTGTATTATTAACTTACAATTAGTGTTAACAGTCAGAATACCACGTAAAGAAGTACGTAAGTGTAATGAAACACTTATTAGAACTCAAAATTACTTGAAATGTTGCATTAAAATGGTCTAAATTAGTAATAATAACACTGGAAGCGTGGTCAAGGCGTGAGCGAGACAGACAGATCAATGTGCGAGCGCGTACGACTACTCTACTGAATGAACGAGCAGCGGAGTGGCCCAGCTGTGACGCGTAAAATAGGGACTAAAGAAAATTTAATAAAAAAATTAACTTTATAAAAATGAAAATTTTTTTTTTACTTTATAATTTTCACACATTTCTACATAACCTGTTAAAATTTTTCCGGTGATAAAAAAGTAGTGGTGTATAACATCACCCTACAACCAATAGGGGCGGAGAAGCGACCACCCGACCATAATTCCAATATTTTTGTCCTTCTTCTGAGCTTATTTTTTTTTCTTTTAGCGATAATCTAACACGGCACACTAAGCGACATGACATAACATGCATAGATTAATCCAAAATGTGCGATGGATAGAATGATATCAAGAACATTTTTTGGATGAAAAGGTAAAAAACATGACTTTTCATTCAGTCATAACTTTTTACTGACAGCATATTTTTGATTGCGGTTTGGTTATAATGAATCAGTATTTAGTAGACTATTTTACTACATAGGTCTCGTTAGTGGTGGACATTTGGACCACACTCCATACATTTTTGGTCATTGTCCTTTCAAATTTAATAACCTTTCTCAATCCGAACATTTTACTTCTTTACTTCACTAAATTATTATGTATTTCAATCATATACTTACCTAATTATTTTGATATGATTACGGTAACAGAAAAACTATTTTAGAAACAATAATATCATGGTAATTTAGACTATCCAAAAACAATAACAGGTAGGTTCCTTATAGGGTGTAGACGTCCGCTAAGATAGGATTTTACAAAACTCCACCTCTAAGTCGATAAAACGGAGGATGTTAATATGTTTTTTACTCTTTCACGAAAAACTACTGAACGGATTTTGATGAAACTTTACAGTGTTATTGTTTATAACCGCTGAATTTTAATTTCTGTGACGGGTCTGGGTGTGACTATGTATAATATGTATGTATTTAAAATTAAAAAAAGTATATAAGTAGTATATCCGTTAAGCTAGCACCCATAACACAAGCATTAAGTTGCTTACTTTGGGGCTAGCTGGCGCTGTGTGAAATTGTCCAAAGATTTATTTATTTATTTATAACCCAGAATAACTAAGGCTAAAATTTATGACGATCTGTTACTGAAATACTGAGTTTCCCGCGGGTGAAGCCGCGGGAAAAAGCTAGTAGTTTATAAATTTCAACATGTTCTCTTTTATTTTAGGGGCATCAACGCGTCAAGTTGATGCAAATGTATCCCCCCAAGCTGTTCACAGGCCATCGAGTCCAGTTACATCCAGCACACCTCCACCACACAATACTTATAGTACGAGATCCGAACTATACTCAACATCAAATAAACCGCACCTTCCGCGACGCAAACTTTAACGATTTTCTTCTGACACAATCATGGTGCCCTAACAATATTGGTGTTATTTGAAAGCCCAATAAATATCCTTAAAGAAAAACACATTTAATTACTTAATAAATGAATAACATATACCATAAATGTGACTTGAAAAAATACCTCACTTTGGGCCCACCTATGGGATCAATTAGACCTATTTTTATGGTTATAAAACCAAATAATGATTTCACGTGTCCTCTTTAACAGATGGATAGCAATTAAACCCAACTTAACAGTTTTATAGCCATAAAAGTTGGCTGTAGCGTAACTACCTATTTTTTGAAGAAGTGACTTCTGGATCCTTCTAAAGACACATTTTGGGGTAAAAACCTTTCCTTTAATGAAATTAAGGTTAGAACTAGGCTTTTAAATGGTACCAATATTGGTGGGAAGTGGGGATTGAAAATGCTTGTCGCGGGATGTGCGATTTATTTGACGTCGAGTGTAGAAGGGATCTGCAAGCATCTGTTTATTCTATAAAACGTTTTTTTTTTAAATTACATTATAAATTATATTTTTACAGACACAATACCAGGAGTATCAAGGGACAGAATTGTTAAAAACATCAGAAATCTAACACCGAAATGTAGACAAATGTACCACAAATGTCGAAACATAATTAATTCCAACCGGCGGCTATTGCGATCTTTCGAAGAAAATTTAGAAAGGGCCACAAATTTGAGCAATAAGGATTGCTTTAAACAATTAATTAAAAATTTAACCCCTCAAGCAAAGTTATTCTTGATGATGCAAGTAAGTAAATCAGCTGGGTTATACTATAAGGTGTGTTATTAAAGTATGAAATTGCCGTTTTGTATGGAGAATTTACGAAAATTATTTTTCCATAATAATATAAACATTTTTGCAATTTTTTAAGGAGCCACAATCTGAGCTTTATGAAATTTTGTGGGTATATTGATACAACATTAAACTTACACATTGAAAAATAGAACACGCCCTTCTTCTTCTTCTTATCGTGTCGACAACAGACCTACACAGTGTCAGCCCAAAACTCCGCCACAAGAGTGGCGTTGTCAGTAGCACTCATCAAATCCTCCTGAGTGCAGTTGCTTGGGCACTCAGGGCATGACATCAGGCGCTTCATCGACTGGGGAATAAAACCGCACCTGCACTCCATGTACAAGCCATCCAAGAATCCCCACCTGGCCAGATTGTCCTTACTACGGCCGACCTGCGTCCGAAGTCTATTTAAAGACTTCCAGGTAAGCCAGGGGAGCTCATGTCCAGGTGGAGGACTCTCAGACATAGGGACAAAAGGGCAGGGGAGATCAGCTCTCTCCTTATATAGTTTGATTACTACTTCCTAACACCGGCTGTAAGAGCTTTACGTTGTCCTCATTAGTAAGTGTAAGTAAGGAAGGTCTATCATTTCACTCTTCACGTCATAAACTGTCGTGTGTATGTATTATAATTACCGTTATTAATTTTATCGATTACAGGTCGAGCTTGCAAATAAACCAATAAAACAGAGGCGGTATACACCTAGGGTTGCCAGGTCCAAAATCACAAAAGCCGGACTCCAACATCCTGATGCGTGCGCTTCATATGATTCTGTGGCTCGACTTTTGCTTGGCGCGGCAACCAAATAAAAAGCCGGACAAGCCGGACAAGGCAATATTTGGCCGGACAAGTCCCTAAAAAGCCGGACGCCTGGCAACCCTATATACACCTCAACAAAAGGTGGACTCATTGGTATTTTTTGGTATTTTTAAAAAGGAGCCCGAAAGCCTATGAGCTGTTGCGCCACATATTTATTTTACCCAGCCGTAGAACTTTAAATACATTTGCGCAGACTATAAAGTTTCAGCCTGGATTGAATGTAAATTTGCTCCAGCAACTGAAAAAACACATCTCTTCTTGGGATGACAAAAAGAGATTGTGCTCAGTAGGTAGTCGTCGATGAGGTGGCGTTGACTCCACAATTAACATTTGTGGAGTCAGAGGATAGGGTCGACGGCTTTGTAAATTTTGGCGAGTCAAAGAAAAGATTATGCGACCATGCATTGGTATTCATGGTCCGTGGAGTGGTCGCATCATGGCGACAATCTTTTGCCTATTACTCGTGTGAAGGCACCACTCCTGCTCTTACTTTAAAGAAAAGACAATGCCGGAAATTGGCGTCTTTTTTTTTAGCGCGGCCATCGATCAAACCTAGTTTTTTGATTACAAAATAGTGTAATAAAGCAAACTTACTATGACATGTATACCTCTAAACTCAGTCTGAACTGAGTGACGAGCATTAGAAGTTTGATGATTTTACATACTAGATTTGCTTTTTGCGCGCAAGTTTTGTAAGAAATTGCAACAAAATAGTGACATTGTATAATGTAAACAAACAATACCATCCATTAAAGGCTCCAGACATCAGTATGGAGCAGAATCAGCGCAATAAAAAAATAGCGCAATATTTTGTTGCAATTTCTTACAAAACTTGCGCGCAAAAAGCAAAGCTTGTATGTGAAATCATCAAACTTCTAATGCTCGTAACTCAGTTCAGACTGAGTTTAGAGGTATACATGCCATAGTAAGTTTGGTTTATTACACTATTTTGTAATCAAAAAACAAAGTTTGGTCGATGGCCGCGCGAAAAAAAATATATTTAAATGTTTCTGTATCGCTAGTAATAAATTAAATATCGTTTTCAGATCGAAATGAGTATCGTTTTGAAGACCGGGTTTGTGAGAGTTACAATATCAAATTCCAACCACAAACCGTATTTAAAGGAAAGTTGTTGGTATTGGCTGGACAAGTCCGAGATGTAGAAGAATTAAGAACAAAACAAGGGCAGAGTTCAATAATTCACGCTCTCATCATAAGGCAAACATCTGTGCACAACAACTACTGTGACTCATTTTTGTACTACCACGTTGTATAGTTTAGTTATTTCCAAATTGTAAACGGCTATTAAAACAGCCCTATCGAAATACAGTCCACTCTTTTATTTAAGTTCCCAGTAGGACCCTTTTCATGCGATTAATTAATGATATTAAAATGTATTATGTAGAATCGCTTTGCCATTGACAGATACATCTGATGACAGAGCTAACATTATTTCTACTTTTGACCACCATGAGCGCTGCGATAGATTATGTCCCCCCCACCTAGTACTTCGCACCCAGCGAATAGTGTATAATAATATGTTACACGTACGGTAAATGTGATAAATGTGAAAATTATGAATAATCGCCGGTTATTATGAATAATTACCTCATGATTTAGTAAATGTGATTAATATGATATCATTTGTGTGTATAAAACTAAATAGGCGGCTTTGGGGTAGCCCAAGGGCCACCGCCGCCGCACCTTAAACTATTTTTCACTTTAAATCAAAACAATATGTTATGGGCATTATGGCAAACTCATTAATCTCACTTAAACTCATTATCCAAATTATATTAATATGTGATGTCAAAACGTTCAAATGTGTGGCTATACACGAGCCGTTGTTCTCTTATATGATATTTGTTACTACTGAGGTTACATTATTAAATAATCACTGAAAAAATAATGTAATTCATTTATTACTTTTACCTCGACTGTCGGTAATATTATTCATAATAACCGGCGATTATTAATAATTTTCAATCTCATTTACCGTAACATATAATTATATTAACAAAAAAGTATTTAAGTATGTTTATATCCGTTGTCTAGTACCCATAATAGGAAGCTTTGCTTAGTATGGGATTAGAGGCTATAGTGTAAAATGTCCAAATGATATTTATTAATTTCTATTTATTTGCCTATTATAAATATTTGCTTTCAGGAGGTCATTGATGCCATCATTGACATTGGCTTGAGGCCTAAAGCCCTGTATGCGACCAGGGCTCCACCTTTCAAGCGTGCCTGAATCTTTTTAAAGATGACGTAAGGAGAGAACAGGAACAGCAGAGGCTGTTAGGCAAGTTGTATAATTTAATTTCGCCCATGTCTATTTTCCTCTGCTTAAGACAAAATTAAATAATGTTAGTCAAGGTCAGGGATAATTTTAATATAACCTTTTTCATAGACATAATTAATAATGAACGACTTTTTTTTAGATAACCAAGTCAAAATTAATGGGCACACATTGCACATCATTTTTGACCCTCCTCACCTAATTAAAGGAATCCGAAACAACTTTTTAAATAAAGACTTGATATTTCGAGGACAACTGGCCAAATGGAATGATATTATTGAAATCTACAAGGCGGACTGCGAGGTAATGAGTAGTTGATATTAAACCACAAAGTTATTTTTAAATGATCAGCAATTTAATGTATACATAATAACAGGTGATTTTCAAGATAATTTGTATCTGCTTTCATTTATGTTATCATGTACCTACACTAAAGTTGGTCATTACGTAAATTCTTACATTTTTAGGTTGGAGACATCCGGATGCTGCACAAGTTGACCGACGAGCACGTGATTCCAGAGAAGATCAAGAAGATGAAGGTGAAGAACTGCAAAGTATTGAGTGAAAAAACTGCTGCAATGCTAAGATACAGCTCCAAAGGTAGGTTTGACAAAGGCTCCATAATATTTTTAAGGTTCTTACCGAAAGGGANATTTCAGGTATCTCTGAAATCGAAAAAGTGTTGGATTCTTTTACATACATATTCTAAGTAGCACATAGGTACGTATACAGAAAGAATATCAAGCTGAGAATTTTTACACAGAGAGTTATTAACGATTTTCATGTTTAGGTCAAAAAACATAACTTCCCAAAAAAAATTTTGTTGGATTTTTGCATATCTATGATCTATATTACCTACTTTCACCATGTGCCAAGTTTCATTGACGGACGAATTATTCGGGTTATAAACGCCTCGTTGATTGGACTATTCGCCCGTGTCTATTTTCGTCTGCTTAAGACAAAATTTAATAATGTTAGTCAAGGTCAGGGATAATTTTAATATAACCTTTTTCATAGACATAATTAATAATGAACGACTTTTTTTTAGATAACCAAGTCAAAATTAATGGGCACACATTGCACATTATTTTTTACCCTCCTCACCTAATTAAAGAAATCCGAAACAACTTTTTAAATAAAGACTTGATGTTTCGAGGACAACTGGCCAAATGGAATGATATTATTGAAATCTACAAGGCGGACTGCGAGGTAATGAGTAGTCAATATTAAACCACAAAGTTATTTTTAAATGATCAGCAATTTAATGTATATGTTACAGGAAATGTATGAAATCCGTCATTGTATACAATTCCTAGGAATTGTGTATAAGTCCTAAAATCACCCGGAAATGTGTGATGTAAATTATATTAGACACATTTCCTAGGAAAATTACACATTTCCTAAACAGCAATCGGAAATGTAATTAAGATTTCAATGAATACGCGTGGACATGCCGTGCGAGGGGGAGGATATTGCATCATCCGATTACGCGGGGTCTCTATCGAATCGCCAAATTTTTTGTACGCCTAGTTGTCTATGGCACACAAATTTTAAACCTAAAATTTTTTTATACAAAATTATTTTAATTATTTGTAAGGTCGCAAGTTTAACCTAACCTAACCGAGACTTTTTTATCCAGCTACAGGAGTACTAAAACCTTCATGCCAATAATAGTTTAATAAAAGAGATGTTAAAATTAGGGATTTCCAATATTTCCGCGTAATATGCGTGATGCCGAAAGAAAGGTATGCCAATAAATTTTAAGCAAATATTTTTTTCGGCCAAAGCCATAGTGCGAAAACATCTGTCAGGCTAAACAATAATATTGTGAGTTAAAAGTACCTATCGGCCAATGTGGTTTGGCTAAATGAAATTTTAGGCGTAACGAGGGGCACCCGATCACGCGACCGCGCTAGTGCCGCTTAGTTTTATACATTTCCTAATACAATATTGGAATTCTATAAAATTCCCAGGAAAAGTATAGATTTCCTAGGATATGTGCGTATTAAAAAATCTCTGGAACAATATTTTATACATTTCCTAAATAGCTTCTGAATTGTATACATTTCCTAGGAATAGTATACAATTCCTAGAATTCATACATTTCCTGTAACATATACATAATAACAGGTGATTTTCAAGATAATTTGTATCTGCTTTCATTTATGTTATCATGTACTCCTACACTAAAGTTGGTCATTACATAAATTCTTACATTTTTAGGTTGGAGACATCCGGATGCTGCACAAGTTGACTCAAGTGTAAGAAAATTATTATATTTATTAATAGTATATTATTATTATTTTTACTTAAGTATAATTGCATAGAGATTTATTTGATTTGTATAAAAATAATATTTAAATTAGGAAACGGAAGTTTATAAAATACGGTTGTTGTACTGACTCGTCAAGTTGTAGAACAAGTCTCAGTAAGTTGGGAGGGGAAAGGTGATATACGAGGAGGTTCGTGCATTTAGAGACACATTCTTGTACGAGACACTAGTTAAGAGGAAACTCTGCCCGACTGTGTAAAATACTTATTAGAAAATAATAAAGTTCGGATATTGAATCTGCAATATTTGTTTCTCTGCTTCTGATTCCCTTATACAAGTATTGAGTGAAAAAACTGCTGCAATGCTGAGATACAGCTCCAAAGGTAGGTTTGACAAACGCTCCATAATATTTTTAAGGATCTTACCGAAAGGGACAATATCAAATATGTACATTTATGATGATGATAATATGATGATACCGTAAGTACCTAATCGAAACCTGTATTCGAGTATTGTGGATCCGAATACAGTCGTCGTCGTCGTCGTTTCAGCCGAATGACGTCCACTGCTGGACAAAGGCCTCCCCCAAGGAATTCCACAAAGACCGGTGGTCTTGCACCGCACGCATCCAGCATTTTTATATATTCGAGAACATGAGTACCATCTAGGTGCTTCAGTCAGTACTGTCACAGTCAGTCTGACTCAGCACATATCTAAATGGTATAAGCGTCGCCGAACGACACTGACTGTGACTTCTAGCACAGAATAAGTAATAGTCTTGGACGAATAAACCACTGGACGCGTAACGAGTGACGTTTTCGTCTTTACCCCGCTAGCACTTACCAAGGCTAAATTAGCCATGGTAAATGTTGTCAGGTTGTCACTTTGTCAGTATGACGCGAGCTCTCGAAGAGTAAAAATATCACGAAAAATGGGTAAATGCGCCGTACTTTATTGCAAAAATTATTCCGGTCACACAAGAAATGTTTCTTATCACGCGTAAGTACATTTTAAATCTATTATAGTAGCTATTTTTTCGTAAAATAAATAAAATTTGATATGTAAACAAAATATGATTAGGGGGCGTCCATAAATTACTTTAAGTTGCCTCAAGACACTGAGAGGTAAATAAGTAGTTAATATTATTCATGATAATTCATGCTAAATCATGTATTTCCTCCGCCATTTTCCGCAGTTTGGCACCTCGCGTCACATCATTTTACCGAAGTCAGCCCTATAGCTTCGGCGTAAGTGCCGATCACTGACGTTTGTCAACAAAATGGTGCTTGACTCTTGAGACAGGCTAAATTACACCATATTGTTAATGACATACAGTTTTTTAAATACCTTCGCGAAGTAAAACTTCTGTACGTAGTACTTTTTATTATTCTGTGCTAATACGAACAACAAAAAATATGTACCGAGCTTAAAGAATTGGATCATCACCCTGAAAAGTTTTATATCAATTTGGTTTGAAATTAAACTGGAAGGAGTGCATTTATTTTACCCTCGAAAGAAGATTGGCAGAAACCTATGTAGTGTTGGTACCGTCTTTAGACGGAGTGTACGACAGTGAAAATATTACCAATTTCTTTGTCTTGATTTATACAACAAAAAATGTAATCATACCATATTTCTACAACTTCAGAATAAAAAGATAAATTCAATGTTATGATAATACGGAAGAAGGTTAACAAAACGCTTTGAAGGTTAACAGAACGCTTAAACATGGAGAACAAAACGTTTTAAATGTCAATTGTCATTTTTTGACATATATAATCTGACTGATACAGACAGACAGAAAAAAATAATATAGATGACCCACGCTGAACTGTCCCGCCAAACTCAATGACAGGGGGGCGCTACCATCGTTCAACTATATGGTTTCCAACATGGCAAAAATCTGAACCAGCGATCCGGTATTGACGGTGGCGCCCCACTGTCAATGTCATCGACAGGACAGTCCAGTATTTTGGAACTATAATGTTTAAAACAACGAAAAGTGATCAAAATAATATTATCGTTTTATCTTTTATTCAGGATGATTTTAAAGGCAGTTACTTTCTGTTGGATTGATGCTCATTAGATAATACGCATCGCGAGTGCTCGCCTAAACAAGAGATATTCTTTATTTACCTAAAGATTATATTATTTATACACATTCATAAAATAGACAAGGCTTTAATGGGGAACTTTTACTCAAGTCAACATAATAATGCTATCAAGAAGTTTATTAAATAAAAACAAAAGTTAAAATCAATATACTGATTTATTCAATGTTTATTCTTACAAGAATTCCATCTAACACTTGTGCAGGTGGTGATATATTGTCTAAGTGATGAGCATAGGCTAAATACCATACGATACTCATCACATGTGAGCAACACCCTACTGTCCTCAAATCCACAATACAGTTGCAACAATATCCTATGATGGCACGCCTCCTCATGATTATCTTCCTGTAGTTCATGTGAGTCAGGAGAGTCATCTGTCTGCAACGGATGGGATGCAGTCCCTGGTGACTCAGAACCTTGCCGTGTTGCTTCATTTGCAAGTTGCCAACAAGCATGGCAAATACTATCCATGAGGTTGATCTAAAAAAACAAATTCATTTAATAGTGACAATGTTGACACGGACAGAGACAATTATTTNCCTGAAGGGCTACCTTTTTTAGGGTTCCGTAGTCCTGACAAGGAACCCTTAGAGTTTTGCTATGTCTGTCTGTCCGAGGTTTTGCTTGGAAACTATTGGCACTAGAGAGCTGTAATTTTGTGGAGGTATGTATATTAATCACGCTGATAAAACAGTAAGATAAAATTTTGAAAAATAAAATTACGGTAGCTAGTTGCTTTACATCTAGGGGTAGGTACATGTAAAGTGGGGGTGAATTTTTTTTATCTTCTACCTCATCGTGTGGGATATCGTTGGACAGGTCTTTTAAAATTGCTTAGGGGTTTCTAAGGCTATTTTTCCATTTAGAGATCTGTTTGCAAATTATTAAAGTTGAAAGTGCCAATTTTTTTTCGAGTCCCCTCTAAAAACTAAACCGTTAGCTTGAAAAATCTGGGAAAATTCATAATAATAATTTATTTTATGAACTTTCAAGGAAAACTATAACGGTTAAGATACATCAGTTAGTTTAGGAGTAATAGTCATTTGACTCATGTATTATACTTAACTAATAAAAATTCCTTAGAAGAAAATACAAAAAGTTACTTTACTAATTAATTATAGTCTTTTAATTAAAGAAACTTTCAATAATAAATCAATCCATAATTCATTTATCTCGTTAGGTTCATTCATTCATTCATTTACATAACTATCGATAAAAATTTACGATCTTTTCCCAGCACTAAATGTCATTATTTGACAATTGTCAAACCTCTCCCCCCGCAAAAAGTGGTTGATCGTGTTTCCTTAGAAATCTTGTAGGTTTCGTGTCCAGTGGTTTATTCGTCCAAGGTAATAGTACAGGTCTAGTCAGTGTCGGTGGGTTTGGTGTGCAGAATCCTTATGGAGTTTTATAGACGTTTTTATTTCTGTTTGAATAAGGAAAGTATCTGCGAGAGAATGTGAAAATGAAATGGTACATCATGTTCAATATTATAATGGGCAGTTTTATAAGATTGTTTTGTGCGATCTTAATTTTATATAATGTGTATTATAATTATGTACAGTGATTGTTTGACAGGAAACCACGCGGACGGGACGCCAGCAAGCAGTACCATGGGGACTACGTCGGAGGCTGTGCTGTTCTTCGACAGGTTTGACAGCGTCAACGGCTCTCGCGGAAACTCCGCTCCTGGCAAGATGCGGGGACCGGTAAAAGAGGTTGAGGGTGTATCAAAACATGTCGAATTTTGGCAGGAGGCAATTCGAACTTTAAACAATATTTATTTTGTTGAGCCTAATACGAACAACAAAAAATATGTACCGAGCTTAAAGAATTGGATCATCACCCTGAAAAGTTTTATTTCAATTTGGTTTGAAATTAAACTGGAAGGGGTGCATTTATTTTATCCTCGAAATTTAAACCAAGATCCACTCGAGAATTTTTTTGGTCGTATAAGAGCTTTAAATCACAGAAGCAACAGTCCCAGTCCCTACATTTTTCAAACTTCATTTAAATCTTTGTTAATTACAAACCTTTTGGGCCCTCAGTCTCGCAATACTAATTGTGAATCAGATTTAGGAGAAACCCTTGTCGACGGTTTTTTTTAATGGATAATAATACTCCCGAACCCGAAAGGGTTCTTATTTCAGACGGCCCCTCTACGAGCACTCCAGTCTCGACTCCCCACGAACTTGCTGAACCAGGGGAAGCGATTCCATTGCTTCAGCAAGTTCGCACAGAAAAGCTGAACGTTCATTCGTCAGCTTTTACAGCCGGCTATGTAGCTAGAAGACTAAAAACTATTTTTAAATGCCAGGCCTGCAATGACACATTAGTGACTAAAGAAATTTCTCTAATCCACTCATGGATTAAGTACCCACAGAGAGCGTAGTTTGTTGAAAGGCAAAAGCCTTCAATATCCTACTCCAAAATTTGTACAAATCTTTCGCGATTTAGTGAAACATATCAATAGTTATTTGGATCTTTTTGCACACAGACCAGCCCCCCTTGACAAAACGCACTTTTTGATCGAATTGAAAATCGAATCCGTCAAAACTCCATACAAAAAAGGGGCTTTTCGATCACTTATCGACTGGTTTGCGATTATAATTTGCACTTTGTCTAGACCCACAGACGTAGTAAAAAATATTCGCACTCATTTTTCAAATTCCGTTTTCATCGACTCCATGGGTTGCACCCAGCACCGTACTCAATTATTTGACCAGTTTATTACTATTGTTTGTAGAGTGCAAATTAATAATTGGTGCAATAGTATTAATAAAATTCTTCGCGGATCTTTTATGTCGAAACTGCCAAATCGTTTAAAATCAGCTATGCAGGCCATGGCACTTCAAAAGTATAAGTCTTCTGGGCTGAAGAAAAAAGTAAATGTTAGTTATGGTTAATGTTTTTTTTTTTCAGGGTCTGGTTCGCGTTGGTCCAGTGCGCTCGGATGGGAGCGATGAAGCGGCTGCGAAGTCGCTTCACCGCTCCCATTGTTGATTTATACTTGTAATTACTTAATATTTCATTAATTATGAGTAATATTGTTTCAGGTCTGGCGCGGCCCGCTCTAGTGCGACGTGCGCTCGGATGGGAGCGATGAAGCGCTCCGAAGTCCGGTGCCGGGTTCGGCGAATGGCTTAGGGAGTAGCGCAGGTCGTAACAATCCCCTAAGCAAGGCCAGTGGACTATCCTTCACGAGGTTGCCGCCTGTATTGGCCAACTACCTTCAGTAATTGGTATAACTGAAACCTCGGGCCGGCGTCCAAAAATCTTTACCCTATCCTATCCATTTCTTTCCCTACCCATTACTGTATAGCCGACCCGTGGCGGCGCATAACCACACCAGGCTCACATTAGCCTTGGGGCACTAAATACCCCCTAAAAGTTGTACCACACTTCACCAAGGTTTAAAATTCTAATTACTTAACATTTCATTATACGAGTAGTATTATTTCAGATTTATACTTTCTTTTACTTAAGATTTTTGTTATTTTTTCCTCAGTAATGTAATTGTGTAAGCTTCATTGTTATAAAGACTATAATTTTACATACGTTTGAGTTAAAGAAAATCGTAGTTGTTTTGTAAACAAAGCCGACACTAGCCCATGTTAACATGGGCATATAAATGGTATGGTGAAGTCAGAAAATTGATATCTTTATTTTAATTATTTTAATTTTCATATAAATCGGATTTTATAAAATTTATTTTGTATGAAAATTAAAAAAAAAAAGTTTTGATATCAAANATTTGCGTTTGAATTTTTATCAATTTTTTCAAGCCAAACCATATTTTTTAGCAATTTATCTTGTAGATAAATTGTTGGATACATCTTGTACAGCTTCGATCGCTTTTTGCAAATTTTCTATGCTACATTGAACTTTTGGAGTCTTTGGCATACTGAAAATGAAACATTAAAAGCCATTTCAATATTTATGCCTGTAAATTGCAAAACAAGTCTAGCAATGAGCAACTTAAACACTGCTACTGCATGGTGGCAACACTCTAATAATAATTGCCCTGGGCAATAACTATACATTAACATATGGCAATAACTGAAATGATGGTGGGCAATAACTAAAAATATACAGATTTACGTGCAGTGATTACCCACCGTTAAAATGACGGTTAGAAATCAAATTTTATCAGGTATTTTCATTGATAATGAAGAAAACACTTATAATTTCATCATGACTATACACCATTAGTTGAATATTAAATAACTTGGAAAAAATAATTAACCTCTAAGCAAGTAATTCCTTAGTAAAATTGTTAAAGTCTTTACTTGTTTGAGTAACATTTTCACCCGTCTTGACAAAATCCGCCCTAACTGTTTTTTTTTAGTGTTTCCTATTGTAAATTTTAAATCTACTGTATATTGATCACGGAGACATCTACTTAGTCAATTCAAATCTAACTAGAGTGATTCAAAGTCAGCACCTGACAATATTATTCTTAAAGCGGGCAATCACTACCAGTGGGCAATCACTCTCTGGTTTACCCTACGTTTGAGTTAAAGAAAATCGTAGTTGTTTTGTAAACAAATCTTACTAATATCATAAATGCAAAAGTTTGTAAGGATGTATGTTTGTTACTTATAAAATTAAATATACTTTTATAATTTTAATGTTTAATTAATTTAATTTTAGTTTGACAAATAATTATCTATTTTAATGTTATTTTTAAGTTTTTGCAACGCCTTCACTGGGCGTCACATGTACCTACAATATTATGCTCTTGTCAACCCTTACCCATGTGACATGCAATAAATAATTTGAATTTGAATTTACTGTTCTTGTTACTGTTCTTTCACACAAAAACTACTGAACTGATTTTGATAAAACTTTACAGTGTTAGTTATTGTTTTTACATCAGAATAACATATCAGGCTAACATAATTATAATGATTTATGTGACAAATTTATAAATGTATTAGATACAATTTTCAAACTGGTTGTTAGATCTGGACCAGAGTTTCTTATAAACATATACAGGGTGTTAGGTAAATGGGTATATGAGCCGACACTAGCCCATGTTAACATGGTCATATAAATGGTATGGTGAAGTCAGAAAATTGATATTTTCATTTTAATTATTTTTATTTTCATACAAATCGGATTTTATAAAATTTATTTTGTATGAACATTAAAAAAATTAAAATGATGATATCAAATTTCTGACTTCACCATACCATTTATATGACCATGTTAACATGGGCTAGTGTCGGCTCATATACCCATTTACCTAACACCCTGTATACAGTAAAATTAATGGCTGTGTAGTGTAGCGTAATTAGAGAAAATCATATTTTTATTGTAAACAATTTATTAATTATTAAGACTGCGCCAATAGAAACAAATGTTGTAAACACAGTCCCCCTTTATTTTTGTAATAAGGGGATTTATTTTTCTTGAAATACCCGCAGTAGATTATTCTGTATAGTTTTACTAGGGTTAAAGACATTTATTGGTTCTGTCGAGTTTAGCGGATGATTTTTTATTCCATTATTATTTTGTTATTTTCCTTACGGAATAAGAAATCATTCGGTTAAGGTATATTAACTTCGAACGTGTAGATAATTCCTTAGGATGTACAAACTATGTTTAGTATACCTACTTCAGACTCAAGTGCTCAAGAGATAGGACTACCTTTGTAATCTTGTCGATAAAGTTGTGTGCATTTTTTTTTAATTGTATTTTTGTTTTTTTTTAATTGTATTTTTATGAAATAAACTTTAATTAAAGCTTATTTTTGATTTTTTATTTCTTTAATTAATTTGAATTTTGAAATAAGAATGCACGCGTACCGTTACTGGTGCGATAACGTTACTCGTTATAAAATATATTAATATCGGTACTACTGCAACGTCGCTAAGGGAATCGTTATTAAAAAGTTACGACCATTTTTTTATTCTTTTAGCGCTACCCAATGGAAAGCCATAGATGCCGGAACTTTTACCAGGCCTGTTCATCTCCGCGAGTTCACATCGAAAACAAAACACGCACGATAGCCCACCTACAGGAGGCGATTCGACAAGGCGTCACATACGAGATACGAGCGAGCATTGACACACGCACGCGTACTCTTGTATTATGGAAAAAAATAAAAAAATACTGTGCAGTATTTAACTGCATAAATAATAATAAAAACACACAATGTACTTTTTTTAAGTTGCCTGAAGACACTGAGAGGTAAATAAGTGGTTATTATTATTCATGATAATTCATGCAAATTCATGTATTTCTTCCGACATTTTCCGCGATTTGGCACTTCACGTCACACATTAGTTTGCCGAAGTTCGCCGAGCCAGCTATTGTCAATTATTATAGATGTCAAACAGGATAGGGTCTTTGCGCTGGTTTTCGTCCAACTATCGGAGTTGCCAACTTTGTGATCTTAAAATACCCTTACATAAATGTATCATATTATTTTATGTCGTTCGAGTGCTCATAAAGGCAGTCAACTAAAGTCGATACTGCAACGCACACACAATCGGCACCGTAACGTAAACGCCTTGCCTCGCCGATGACAGTGCGCGAAGGGCAATGACAGCTCGCAAAACACTGACGTATATCAATGTCTCATGGACTTGGCGTAACTTTAAAATAAACGTACTCGGTACATTACGCACACATTTACACGCATTATAAATACATACACGATTTAAGAAAACAACATGGCCGCAATATAGGCAATCAGCTGACAGGTATTTGTGTGTGTGTGTGAAAAAAAAAAAAAAAAAAAACTCTTAACTAAAATACATAACATGTTTATTTTAACCTTTGGGAATGCAATTATAAACATAAACCCAACTCAAATTAAACATTTTACTCGAAATAAAATCGTATTCTTAACAAAATTAAAAAATAATCAAATATTAACAATGTATCTAAGTAGGACTATAAAAACAATTCGATTGAAATTAACGCTCCTCTGTCTGTGGGTTTGCTAGTCACTCAGATTCTTTCATCACTGGCACCCGGAGTGCTGCAGACGAAGACGGTTCTGGAATTGTCAAATTGTCAAGCCACTTGCATCAACTTCGTCTTTGTCGAGCCAAACAAATGAAAAATGACGACCAGACTATAATACAAACGAAGGATTCCCCGTAAAACGTAAACGAAAAGGGTTGCAAATTTGGGAGTTTTAATTCCCTAAATATTTATTAAAATTTAAACAATGTTACGTAACGTCTTGTAAGAATGTCCCTGTAACGCATCGTAATGTTTTACGAGAAAATTGCGTTACATAATACTTGAATGCTCCCTGAGGGAATTTTAAACTATAGGTTGGTAAAATAAGAAATTTACAGAATTTTATTATTATTCGTTTATTGTTCTTTCAGGTCACACGTGTTTTATTACATTCATAATAGTTTCATTAATAATTAAAAATAACATTTTTTTTTACATTTCACTCGTAGTACGCGTATTGTACTATTTTATTACAATCATTAACAATCGCACATAATTTTATAATAATAATAATAAAA